TTGAAATGACTTGCTTTTTGATTTAAACAATTGCATCGGCTTCTATGGCATTTGAACGTCTCCAACAATTTTACATAAAAACTTTATAGCTTATAATACCTTTCAATAATTTTGTATTAAGAAATCTTAATACAAAGTTATTGAAAGGTATTATAAGCTCAAGTTTTTATGTAAAATTTATTTTGATGAATTCAGAATCTATGTTTTTAAAAATGTACAGTAAAAGAGATCGGAATTTATTTTGAACGTCTTACTATGTACATAAATAGTTACTAATAAATAATTCCATCATCATTATACGTTTCTTTTTATTTATATATAGTGACAAACGTTTCTATTGTTAACTGCAATTCCTTTTTGCGCGATAATATACTTGTCCATAGACCTAATGAGTACTAATTGACTAATTGACAATGTATTTAATGATTAATATAATAATTTTAATCTAGATTCTTATGACTGTAGAGATTATAAGAAAAAAGAACTATACAGATAATTATCAAGTTTCTCCATAAAATTGTTGAAACCATCCGAGTTCTTACAACAAAGTACTTAAATGTTGCACTTATTAGGTATCTCTCTTTTTATTTTTTGGAATGGAACATTTGGAAATATTTATAATATTATTCAATATAGTCAAAATACACTTTAAAAAATTCAAAAGTTTAAAATAGAAATTTATTACATCGTTCGTTTTTCTCACTTACATATTGTTCTAGAGTCATTCATAAAATCTTGGTATTATAATTAAATTTAGTACTATAAACATGTTGCAAGTCGTAAAAAATTTTCTACAAAGGAATTCTTGTGTAAACTGTTGTGAAAAAGAAAGCACAATGTATATGCAACACGATACAGAATTTCACATATGCAACAGTTGCATCAGCTTCTATGGCATTTGATGTCTCGAACAATTTTACTTAAAAACTTTATAGCTTATAATACCTTTCAATAATTTTGTATTAAGAAATCTTAATACAAAGTTATTGAAAGGTATTATAAGCTCAAGTTTTTATGTAAAATAAATTTTAAATATCTGTATAGTTCTTTTTTCTTATAATCTCTACAGTCATAAGAATCTAGATTAAAATTATTATATTAATAATTAAATACATTGTCAATTAGTCAATTAGTACTCATTAGGTCTATGGACAAGTATATTATCGCGCAAAAAGGAATTGCAGTTAACAATAGAAACGTTTGTCACTATATATAAATAAAAAGAAACGTATAATGATGATGGAATTATTTATTAGTAACTATTTATGTACATAGTAAGACGTTCAAAATAAATTCCGATCTCTTTTACTGTACATTTTTAAAAACATAGATTCTGAATTCATCAAAATAAATTTTACATAAAAACTTGAGCTTATAATACCTTTCAATAACTTTGTATTAAGATTTCTTAATACAAAATTATTGAAAGGTATTATAAGCTATAAAGTTTTTAAGTAAAATTGTTCGAGACATCAAATGCTATAGAAGCTGATGCAACTGTTGCATATGTGAAATTCTGTATCGTGTTGCATATACATTGTGCTTTCTTTTTCACAACAGTTTACACAAGAATTCCTTTGTAGAAAATTTTTTACGACTTGCAACATGTTTATAGTACTAAATTTAATTATAATACCAAGATTTTATGAATGACTCTAGAACAATATGTAAGTGAGAAAAACGAACGATGTAATAAATTTCTATTTTAAACTTTTGAATTTTTTAAAGTGTATTTTGACTATATTGAATAATATTATAAATATTTCCAAATGTTCCATTCCAAAAAATAAAAAGAGAGATACCTAATAAGTGCAACATTTAAGTACTTTGTTGTAAGAACTCGGATGGTTTCAACAATTTTACGGAGAAACTTGATAATTATCTGTATAGTTCTTTTTTCTTATAATCTCTACAGTCATAAGAATCTAGATTAAAATTATTATATTAATCATTAAATACATTGTCAATTAGTCAATTAGTACTCATTAGGTCTATGGACAAGTATATTATCGCGCAAAAAGGAATTGCAGTTAACAATAGAAACGTTTGTCACTATATATAAATAAAAAGAAACGTATAATGATGATGGAATTATTTATTAGTAACTATTTATGTACATAGTAAGACGTTCAAAATAAATTCCGATCTCTTTTACTGTACATTTTTAAAAACATAGATTCTGAATTCATCAAAAAATGAATCAGGTATACCTCAGCAAAATTTCTCTTAGAAAAATATCTTCTTTTAACAACTGAATTAATATATTTGTATCTAGATATGTAAATAAAAGGATGGATATGTGTGTGGCATTATTGCAAAAATATCTTTAGCATTGTCTTATTTTGTTGTATGGCACATGGCGTCAAACTGACATTCTTCGTCGCTATCTGGATACATTGCCTTCATGGTGTACAATGGACATGGCCTGTCTTTCGGACAGCCTGGTAAATTGTACCGGTCGTTCCTGAAGCATGAATAAAACACTGGGCCCGTAATATTCGCAACTGAAACGAACATAATTGGATAATTATATATGATATTACAGGAAACGATAGTTCCATGATCTTGAGAAAAACGTACTCGTACAAAACAAATGCCATGTTAGATGCAAACGTATCGATAATACTGCTTCTCCACGCCCTTTTGTCTTCGTTCTTACGTAATGCAAAGGAATTGTGCGTCAAAGGATGTACATGTTTGGCTAGTCCAAGTAAAGCTGTTAATTTCAAAATCGTGCCGGAATGTGTAAAATAAGCTGTTGTCACTGCCCCTTCGTTGGATCTAAGAAATCAAACACTCTACTAGTACGTCGCATTAACACAATGTAATTATATATTTAATTGCAAAGTTATAACAATTCTGAAAATTTTCAAAATTGAAATTGCAGTCTCATATTCATTATTTGAAAATGTTTTCAATTGAAATTTCTTTGACATGTAGACGAAAAATTTATGCATATTTTCGTTTTTGTAATTTGAAAGCCTGCAGTGAGGGAACAGGAATTTTATATTGATTTATTATTGCAATACATATAAATTTGCATACCCAAAAGAGTCAAACACATCTTTCAAGGCAGGACACGCCGCGAGCGAGGATTTAAACTTGAAAAGCTCACAGGAGAAGTGGAGTAATCTCTCTCCCTCTTTTTTTTTAATGACAGGAGAAAATATGTATTTCCATGTATTTGAACACTATATTTGTTTACAATGACGACGAATAAACAATCGTTAACATTAACGTAATCGGTCGAAAGTGTGTATCAAGTTTGATAATTCGTTTTCATTTAACAATGTCAAAATTGTTAAAAAATTTATAATATATAGTTTACACTGTTCGGAGAATCTCGCGTTGCTGAAAAAAGACATTAGAAAGTAAATCAGATGTATAATTACTTAAATTGATATTACAACGACGCGTAAATTACATTATTTTATATCTTTGTGATCGCGCCCTTTTTATTTTTAATAGTACAAATTACTATATCAGTACTTTTGTTTTAATAATGTACTATTTTTAGTAGTACAAAATAACTGCCGATAGTTCTCCCATACATCATTTATAGAAAATGCGACTCATTTAATATACCTATCATTCTTTTACAAATTTCTCCCTAACGGGCGTTTGATGATAAACTAATCACTTCAAGCTTCCGCTTTTATGATAAAAAGTATATATCTCCAATATATATATTATCGATCCGATATCTTACTCGCTGTAAATAATATTAATAATATTAATGGTACACAACATTCATGTTTTTTTTATTTCTACATTTTCTTCGAATATTACTTTATAAATAAATATCTACTCCGTGTACTACAATTTTTGGATACTTGGAATGCCACACCGAGGAATGAAATTCTACAAGCTGCGACTACAATAGTCCTTAATCCACTTTAACTGAATGCATGTTCAAATGGGAATGCAATATTTGATCTCTTATATTATTTGATGCTCATAATTTGATCTCTTAATTTTGACTTCAATAAACGTATCATAAAATGTGTACAGCGCATTGGAAACAATTACTGCACATTTATGATATATTAATCCGATAGGTCCCGCGTGACTGATGTTGCAGAGATATAAGTGCACAATGATCCATATTAATTAAAGGTTGACGAAATATTTTCTAGCCACTTTTTGTCTTTTATAATAAAAAACAATCCTATTTTAAGATTCTTTGATAAAAATTATTAATTTATGATAAATATACAATATCTAGCGGTAAACGCGAGCCCTTTTGGATTAATATGAAGAATATGTTTCAGGTACATGCTAGTTATTAGGAAACGTTTCGTTAATATCACATATAAATAAAATAAAAATAAAGAAAAAGACAATTTGTGGAACACATATAACAGCACAGTTAAATAACGTGCATAAAATTGTAAATTCAATTATCATAATTAATGACGTAATTATGCGATACCTACATATACACATATACATACATATATATGTATATAGTGTGTATATGTATCGCACATATACACACACATACACACGCGCGCGTATTGTGAAAAAGTTTAAGATAATTAAAACAAGTCTTTAAAATTATTGTAAATATCTTTCACATAGCCATAATTTCAATTTGAATATATATGTTTGTGTGTGTGTGTGTGTGCGCGCGCGCGCGCGTGTTTGTGTGTGTATACATTTTTATATTTCTTACAATACTATGCATATATATATGTATATTTTTCAATGGATTATATATGAAATTTTTGTTAACAGATATCTAATACATACTCTTGCACATTACAGAGTAGAAATATACTTTGTAGGTATATTAATTATAATAGAAACACTTTGTGTGTGTTATTTAACGAGGATTATATCTTCCCTTCCTTCATTTGTATTAATTTGCATTATAATAATTATAGTTAGTATTGTAGTATATATATTTTTTAAATTATAAGAAATTTTGAAAGCTATGTTAAGATGAGTATGCATGTTTCAAGTTGTATAAAAGAGAAATTCTATTAAAAGTGATATATTTACAAATTAGGAAATTAATAATGATAAGTAATCATATGTAAATCTTAAATAGCTTTCTAAGCGTTTCTGTAAGTTAACATTGTAATATACAGGAGATAGAATGTACAGTATATAAATAAAGGTAACCTTTTTTTCTTATCACAATATTGAGCTATGCATTTCTATAGTTTTTAAATGCATGGTTTTCTTGGGTAATAAATCATTGGAAGTATTGAAAGTCAATTTTTATGTATATGCAAGCGTTATTTGTAGAACATTGAATTAACTAATAATTAACTTATATACATTTTATAATGATAAATTGAACTGATATGTTATGTCACTTCTTATCGCGTCTGACTTTGGCTTTACGCAATCAAGATAAAGCCTATATTATGTATCCTAAATGCAAATTATCACTTTCGTTCATTATAATACAAATACATACTTTTCACGTCCATTTTCATGTTATTTCTTGTTACTGTTTTACGAGTGTAATTTTATTCTCACGTATTTATGTCTTATTCATCTTATATATTGATCATTTCATTGTACCATATATTTGTGGGAGCTTTTACTCGCCCATGTTTGTTTTTTCTTGTAATATCTGGTAATAGCATGCCTATAATAAAATTGATTCGTTTTATTATATTAATTTATTAAATATTTCTTATTTTCTATTTTACTTGTTATAATCATATCTGACCTTAAGTGTAGTGAACATAATGCCAAGTTCTCCATTTTGCAAGTACGGCTCCATGAAGTCTTCAATAAAATGTATTTCGCTCCCTAATTGTAACACACTAGCACGCACTACAACAAAACTAAACACTGGAAACAGTTCGTCCATCGTCCATAAATATGCGGATCCTAGTTGTTTTTGTACTGCCTGTTATTAAATGTAGAAAAGTGCATTAATATAAATAATTTATTTAGATGCGCTTATACAAATAGCAATATCAACATTATTGCCTACGTATTCTTACTTGTGTCATTTGTTCGAATGTACTTCTAACCACTAATAACTTTTCTAAAGGCGAGAAAGTTGTTTTAAGTTGCTGCAGAGTTTCTATAGCCTCACTGAAATATGGTTCATGTTGATATGGTAATGAATTGTCGGAAATGCTTATTACATTTGCAGTTTTCCAGAATTTCCTGCAATTTTGTAAGAGAATGCAAGAAATTATAAAAATCAAAAAGAAAAAACATTATTACACAATACTTAATGAGTGGCCTTATACAAGATGATTCATTTTTCTTCTATTGTTACAAATTACTAAACTACTTACTGATCAATTTCAAGGAAGGCCATCAGAGTTATGTCAGGTTGTTTATTCCATTTCATCAATCTTTCCCAGTATGCATCATCTTCCTTTTTATTATGTAAGGCGTATAATACAAAAAGTGCTGAGTGTACACGTGGCAGTAATATTGGATGAAGTATTGCAGCAGCACTTATGACTTGCCTAAAGATAAATATCTTTGAATCAGAGTGTTACAGATTTGAGAATGTTAGGTATAATTTTTATAGATTTTATAATACGTACTCGTCTTCACTATCAGTTTCAAGGACATACTCTTTGCCACAACGTGGTAGAGCCGGGAATAAAAGAAGGACAATTTCGTATATTCTTGTTGTAATACTGTGAAGTTCTGATACTGCATGGCTAAGTAATAACGGATGTACTCTTACTCCACCATAAGTAGCGGTATATACCGCAGCTACTTCTGTCAGAAGCGCGCCCAACGGATGATGCGGGCTTTCGAAAGCTTTTACCAAGTACTTGTGAACCTCGTTGTAGGTCTGACTGGTGAGCTTATCTCGTCCAAAACCTGGTATCTTATCCAGTTGATCGATAGTTTCGCTACTTTTTTCTTTTGTATTTGAAGTATTGGCAGACAGCTTTTTTCGTTGCAATGTTTTTTGATGAGATTTTGTTATTATACTAGCCACATTTTGCCATACTTTTTGCGTTTCTATAGATTTTTCATTGTAACTGGAATTTTTGGTGACTGGTTCAGATACACCAAGTTGTTGGTAGCATTGTTTAAATATCGCTTTCCACTTTTGATCCGGAGATACACATAGCTTACCAAAAGATCTAACAAAAATAATGAGAATAATATAAAAGGCTATTAATTGCCAATAATTAATTTGCCGCTTGTTACTTTGATAAAGAAAATTTTATACAGCATTTAACATTGCAATAATATAAGCGTGCTTACGCTGGTTTCGAATTAGATTGCGCTGTCCCACTAGCTTTATTCATATGTAATGTGGCAATAACTTTGACACCTTCATTCCATGCACCATTCATATTGCCTTCTAATCTGTCACCGCTTCGGAATGTCAGTGTACCTTTTCCACAAAATATTCCTGCAGACTTAAATTCACCTTCATAATGGGTGCCGTCCTCAAATACCATCACTCCGTGACCCTTTAATGGACAATGTTAAAATCAATAATTCAGTTAAAAAAATATTTCATCCCTTTTTACAAAATATTTCACATAAAAAAATTATATAATCACCGTTAAGACATCTTGCGTAAAAACACCTTCATAATAAATGCCATCAAGTGTTACGATCAAGCCATTGCCATGTTTCATGCCGTTGCTCCATGAACCAAGATATTTTTCACCTACAGTGTCATTAAATTATTACTACATATGTAATTTTGACATTATGATTAACTAAAAATATCATATGTATGAGATCACTGTTACGTTTTTAGAACTTTTTATTTGTAGTTTACTTGTAGCGTAATAAATGCATATTTACCTGTCATTATATCATCTATTATTCCGTAACCTTGTTTAACGCCAGCCGCCCATTCTCCAATGTAAACAGACGCGACTGACGCCATAAAGTGGCCTTCTTTTTTGACACCGTGGCCATGAGGTAATCCATCTTTGAAGTATCCTTCATAAAAATCTCCATTAATGTACCTAAAATATTCTTGTATAATTAATTTCCTGTGAATAATTAGCAAATCGAGGATTATGCTAGAAACAAAAGCTTCCACGCACACACGTAGCTTTATAAATAATAAATTCTAATAACGAATACGTTTTATGGAGTATATTTTCAAGAAAGAAATCTTACTTCATTGTTCCATATCCATTTTGCTGACCATCTTTCCACTGGCCTTCGTATACACCTTGCATTGGAATTTCCATTTTTCCGGTACCATGGATAACACCTTTATGAAATTGGCCTACGTATGTACGACCGTCTGACCATTCCAATTTTCCAGAGCCATGTGGTTTACCGTTCAACCATCGTCCTATAAATTCGCGATATGATACACACTTAGTGCAAATATTATTTTTATACACAATGCTTCTTTAGTGAAATACATTTTAATACAATTCTACAAACCAGTATATTTTGCATCCTTAAAAACATTATGTTTTGTAAAAGTAAACGAGCTTGATCGTGCTAATGGAGGCACATTTCCGATCACTCTCTGCAAACTGCATTTTATAGTATTTTGTAGAGCATGCAGCCACTCATTCCGCTCGGAAGGAGTAGGAGTGTACAGCACGAAATTATCCTCTGGTGTAACAACCGATATAGCGTTCTGAAAAAAAATATATAAATTTAATTTTAGACACATTTATTACTACATCAGTTTTTCATAAAATATAATAGATCAAGTGATTAATTTTGTACCTGCACATTTTCGGAATCTGGTAAAAGTTCCACCCATAACGTTTGAAGCGGATGAATTGTATGTGTAGTGCCAGTGACATGTATGAAAATATCCGTTAGCAGGACAAACGAATGCGACGAAAATCTACCGGAGTTAAGGATCGAGAGCGGATACGCTTTTGATTCTCGAATGAGTCTTCTATTGGGAGATCTCAGCGATTCTCCGAGCTTGCCAGAACTTTCCCAAAACGATTTCGTAGCTTCCGCCTCTCTTTGACGTTTATCTTGTTCATCGTGCACCTGCTCCCATTTTATAAGAGCTTCTTGTAATCGTTCGACACCCATCTTTGTGCCATTACTTCTTATTAAGCTATGAATCATATTCTTGTATCTGTAATAAGATACATATATATTAGAAATCTCAATGAAATGCCATTATTTATCCAAAGTGTTATTTTATTATAACATAATTAATAGAAATAACTCACCTGTTCAATGTACATAAGGGATGCTGTAATGCCATTGTTATAACAATTTCATTGCTATGTTTTTTTACATCGCTACTTTTTAAATTATGTACAAACAAATTTGATACTACTTGTGGCACTTCAATGAGTTTTGCAATATGCATAAAACCACCGAGAGATATAACATCGCAAATAGCATTCAAATAGTATTTATATACTGTAGTAAATTCTTCTATATTGGCAACAATTGTGACTTCATATGCTTCTCCAATATGATTAAAATAATCCCATAAGCTTATGACGTTCAAAACGCTTAAGTGCATCAACTCTGCATAACAACGACACAGTGTTTCATATACATTGGCTTCGTGGGTCACGCCGCTTTTCTTTTGAAACGGCTTGATGAGATTCTGATAAACAGTCAACATTTCTTCTAGGAAAATCTGATCGTTTATCAAATCTTCCGATACGTTTATTGCCGGTTCATTTATCACAGAACAACAACTGTATTGCCCAGAACTGAAAATCTCTCTCGGACTGTTTGTTTCGTCCCTGCTTTGTATGTCAAGTTGAAACATGTCACCAACTTTACTGAAAAATCGCAACGCATTCATAAATAAATATAAACGAAATCATTATAATCCAAGATTTCTGTTTTAGTTACCTCGATTGCCCCATGAAATATAAACCATGATGCATCATTGCTAAACTATGGAAATTGCCAGCTGCCATATCGATCGCTCTCTCGTTGGAAGATAACTTTGTGGTGAACAACTGAGGTGCACTTTGATCCACCGTAGTGTGCAAAGCGACCTGTTTAAGATTGTTGCGACCCCATGCAAATACTCGGCCGTCCAGTGTTAAAGCAAGCACGTGGAAGGCACCGCAAGATATCTTTCTGATACCAGTATGACTGAGCTTCGTCACTAATACTGGCCTTGGTCGTTTAATAATATCTCCCGTCCCCAATTGCCCGTACTGCACATCACCCCACGTCCAGAGTTCCGTCCCCAATATGTTGCTGCCAGTACGAGATAACGTATTAATCCTTTCATTTAAGCCGTGCTGGGACAACTCGTGTTCAGAGGAGCCGGTGCTCGATGACCAAGGAAACTCTTCGCAACGTAAGCTCAGTGCCAGACTGGTCGCAGTAGGTTTTATGTAAGTATCCCCGTGCTCTTCTAAGTTTTCATTGCTATCAGCTTTACATTCATTAATATCGGAACTACCGCTCATATGTCTAGATAAGGTTACAACTTTACCACCCACATTTTTAACCCCTTCGTACACTAAATTCGCCATATTTGAGACGTTTTGCTTTATCAATCGCGTTGACCGATCGACACTTTCCATGGGTATGTCTTCCTTGGCGCTTCCGTAAGACGAAACCCAGGACAGTTGCCTGGTTAGAAATTGTCGTGCCGTCTCCGTGTTTATAAATATAACATTTCGTTTCTCGTCTTTGTCAGAATCTGCTAAATTACTCAGACATTCCTCGCCATTTTCAACGATGTCAGCCGGCTGTTCCTTCTTGTCCATTTCTGGCAGAGAAATGTGCTCTTTGCTGGCAGTGGACAGGGCGCTGATGGAATTTGTCGAACGATCTTCGCTAAACTGCTGCGCATGAAGGCCAGTCAGACACGTGTCCGACGATGTTACACTTCCAGGGCTTAACATAACATTATTAAGACACTGCGGACAGGAATTAACGAAGACCTCCTCCTCCAACTCGTTCTCGCTGTCCGTATCATCTTTCATGAGCTTGGCGGTTTTTCTCACAGCGGCAACGTTAAAATTCGAGCCGCAAGCAATCTCCGACACCGTTCTCCCTTCAAAAAACTTCACCTTCTTCGGTTCCGCACTGTTTATATCTATCTGCGACTGGTTGCCGCTAGCCCATAACTGTCCACTGTCCGTAACAAATAATGCTGCTTGATCGCTGACCGCTATGAATTTCACCTTTACCACTTCATTATCCTCTTTGTATCTGCAAGTAAGATGGAATCTATGTTACAGTAATAAGTTACAAACACATGACATCATCAACATCCTTCTATCGATTCCATATTACATTTATTTATCAGCTAAGAATAACTCTTTTACATATAGACGAAAGTCCCCTATTATAAGACATCCAAATTCAATCACAAATCTCTTTTCGCAACGATTACATAATCCAACGATGAATTTTCCACCAAACAAATTTTACTCCAAGCGCAATAGACTCACGATGGAACCAGCATAGATGACGCCTATTACTTTAGCAGAAACTCCGCTGTCTCGTGTCAAGAATCTATCTTATAATAGGAGACTTTCCTCCACATTTAATTTTCTTCTTTATAATATGCATGATAGATATAAAAATTAAATGGAAAAGAGACAAAATAATAAAAAGAAAGGCAGGGCGAAATAAGAACGGGTTTCTGCAAGGTTTAATTGTTGGGGGGAGGGAAACATCTCTCTCTCTCTCTCGACGTACGTACCCGTGGCTACAATACTTGACTTCCTCCTTGAGAACTATTGAATCTACGACACTCATGTCCTGAGGATTTACTTTCACCACGTGCCCGCTGGTATTTACGACGAACAGGTGCTCGGAGTTGGTCGCCAGGTCGACGACGTCGAATTGGGCCCGTTTGAAAACGAGGGCGGGACAGGCGTCCGCGCGGTGCGACACCTCCCCGTGGTAGAGGTTGTTGGTCGTGGTCGCCGCGAAGACGTGGTCCTTGACGGTGACGAACTTGGACACGACGCCGCTCGGCTTGTCGCCGAACGCGAAGGACAACTTGTCGGCGCCCCTCCATAGGTGCAGGTGCTTATCCATCTCGCTGCGCGCGGCCTGACGGACGAGGTGGCTCGCATAACCTACGCGCGGGTCGCTCTGGACTTTCTACGGAGCTTTGTTTAGCCGCCAGCGAGTGACGCCACTCTTTCGTCATATTATCTGCAATAATGGTTCCCCCGTTAAACACTTTCGTAAACGTATCGCGGGGGACTCGCGGGACAGCATGATTGAACGTGTAATCTTTTTACTGTGACTGACATACGAGGCACGGGCCACGGGTTGGTTACTGATATCAGCTGTTAGACGCGACGGCACACACACGGGACGGGAGGACCCATTGAACCTTCGTGCCAGGACTGCATGTCGTTTTTTTTCCTTCGCTCCTTCATGACCGATTTACATGAGACCTTAGAATCGACACGTTTGTCCCTTGTAGCCGAATTTTACTGTCTCGTTTTCTTCCGTCCTTTCAGCTAACAGTCGATATCTCTATTTTATTCAAGGTGAAAAAAAGATATAATTGCTTCTTGTACGCAGAACGTGGAAATGCTTGTCGCGTGGCCAATCAGTTTATCGCATTTCTGTAAGGGCGTTAGAAAGATTTGGAAAGAATTATACGGAGCTTTACCTACATTTGTATTTCGCCCAAACGTCATACGTTTTTTATTCTCTATTATAGAAGCATATATAATTTAGAGCTGAACTGACGTCAATCAATCGTAAGCCCAACATGGTATACCATTGACTGGCGAGAGATCGTCGGACACCGATTCGACGATTATAGAGACGAAATTCTTTTCAAGTACTAACTCCTTAAATTTGACACAATCGTGTGGTGTCCAGTCATCGCCCTTTATCGGCTCTATTCCTAATCAACGTTAAAAGTCACTTGGAACTCTTTACGAAGAAGTATTTAACGATGACAAGTATTTAAGAAAAAAAAAAAAGATACTTTTCTCTTACCGACGAGTTTAGCCTTTACTGCCTGATACGGCAATTTCATGAAGTTGCTTTTCAACGGCTGCAAATTGTCGCGGGATATTATCGTAACGTCGCCGTAGTCGCAGAAATATACATGCAGATACATCATTTTCGCTGATAATGTTTGTAACGTGTACTCTAAAGTGAATAAAACATTGACCAATCTCTTTTACATTGCGATGATACAAGTTGCATTGCCTGTACCAATCATTTCCGAATTTTCCAGCGTAGAGCTTGCCTTCACCAACGGATTCCACAGGTAGGTTGTTGTGTATAATACATATTATTATAGCTGTAATAACCCGTGGCGATCATGGCGCAGAGGATTGTGCGCTGGTCTGGCAATACGAAGACCTGGGTTCAAAACCAAACATTCTTGGTTTTTCGTTCGATCGCCACATATAAGAAAAGTCGTAAAAACAAACACGACCTTGCGAGCGGCAAGAAACGACGGTCTCCGTCTGCCGTAGCATATGCCGCTTTCCGGGCGGCGGGTTCAGGAGCAGAAACAATCGAGCGAAACGGCACTGCCCGCGGCAAGTCGGTTGCCGATACCAGGCGGCGACTTTCGTCGGTCATTGTCCTGAGGGCCGACGAATCCTCGGTCGTCCCCGAGATTGCAATCCACTGTCACTCCTACTATTACGGTTGTTGTCAAAAAATTCGCGCTCGCTCGCGCGAAAGCAGAAGAAATTATTTGTATAAATCTAAATCTAATCAAGATTAATCTCAGATTTAGAGAGATATTTGCAAAGGTCGTTCTTCTCTTAAGATTGAACGGTTTTCCCGCTCCAGCGGATGAGTCGCATGACTCCCACGGCTGCTCATATATGCAACAACCGTAATATTAGGAGTAACAGTGATTGCAATCTCGGGACGACCGAAGGTACACTGAGGAGCAATGATTCGCTGATTGCAATCACTGTTGCTCCTACTGTTACAGCTGATGTTGTATGAGCAGCCGTGGGAGTCACGGGACTCGGCTGCTTGAACGGGAAAACCGTTCAATCTTAAGAGAAGAACGAGCTTTACAAATATCTCTAAATCTTAGATTAATCTTGATTAGATTTAGATTTAACAAATAATTTTTTCTGTTTTCGAGCGAGCACGAATTTTTTTACAACAACCGTAATAGTAGGAGTGACAGTGATTGCAATCTCGGGACGACCGAGGATTCGTCGGCCCTCAGGACAATGACCGACGAAAGTCGCCGCCTGGTATCGCAACCGACTTGCCGCGGGCAGTGCCGTTTCGCTCGATTGTTTCTGATCCTGAACCCGCCGCCCGCCGCCCGGACCGCGGCATATGTCTACGGCAGTAGCATTTTTCCACCATGGCTTACGATTGATTGACGTCAGTAACGTAGCCAGTATCTCTCTTCGCGGGGCAGAGCTACACTTTTTTTTGGCTAGATTCTTTTGTTTTGAGCGAAAATGCATTGAATGAGTCTAATTTTTGAATTGACGAAAAATGACGGGCCAATCACAGCGTGCTTCCTTATGGCCAGACTCTGATCAGAGTGTCTTTACCTAACATCGCAGCGACTGCGTTCTAATATTCTCCCTGCCAATACGGAAAATCTATAATTTAAGTACACCATAGATTTTCAGTATTGACAGTCACTGGCAGTAAATACCGGAACGTGGCCAGCATTTCTGCGTCAGTGTTAAAAAACACATTTATTTATTAATCGGCTGTTTCCGTAAGTTCCTCCAATAGAAACATTGCAATTGAGCTTGTGTTTGAGTTAGTTCCACGAAATGTTCGTGTAGTCTCTGTCTTGTTCTTTAATATTAGCTGTGACAGTTCCCATCATTTCGATCGGCCATTGTTTCTTTTATTTGACAAAGGAATTAACACATATATGTTCTTATTTTTAATTAACCAACGACGTAAGTAAAAGTTGATTTATATAAACATTATTTTGAGCTTTTTCTAACTAAAATATTATTTTGTTTATAGAATGTCATGCAAAGGAGAACCTAATTCCAGTAATGACAAATTACTATTACTATTACACAGTGCCGGAGATAAGAGAATTTCTCCGAATATTACAAGAATATAAACATGTGGTGAGATCAAAGGAAGGCTATGGTATAAAAGAACAAGATTGCATCTGGAGCGAAATATGTATCAAGTACAATCAATCACCTTTAATTCGTCAAAAGGTAAAAACTATGAGGCAGAGAATAATTCGATATGTACAATAATATTATATATAAGATATTTTCATAGAGTACTGTCCAACAATTACAAAAGTTATGGACAAGCATAAACCAAAGAAAAGTTTTAACAAGGGGGAAACAGGCACGCGTGACAACTGACCAAAGACTATTGGAAGAAATAAAACCAAATATTGTTAGAACATATGAATATTTTCTTAAGGTTCTAGCAGTTGTAATGACATTATGTTGTTTTCTTTTTATCATATATGCTATTGGTATTCTTAAAATATTTTATTTACGTGAGCCCGGTTATTCTTTTTACTCTGTACCTGAGAATGAATATTTATTCCTAAATAGTTTATATCATTTTGCATTTACTTTCTTTCTCTTTGGTTCCTTACTTGGTCTTTTTCTTGTTGGTTTTCACTATTATTTCCTTAATCCGTCCCGTAAGAACGAAGCGCCAATTAAAGGTATGTCGATTTTTTAAATTAGCGCTAAAACTATTAAAAATTCTATTTATTCAACTTTCTGACATTAACAGATTTTAAATTATCTTTGAATAATTTAAAACATATTTTTTCTATACATATATTGCATAAACGCGGGCTTGCATTTTAAATTGTATCTAATCATCAAAATGTGAAAAAATTAGATATTAAAAATGCTGAATCTCTTGTAAATGTAGAAAGTGATAGAGATAATAGAGTACTATAACTCTTTGCAAGATATTTATTTCTTATGTTGTACACTTGTATGTTAATATCTATGTCATAGTAACATTATTTGTTCCTCTTTTACAGGTATATCTATCACAACGAAGAAAATTAATAAAGAAATTATGACTCCATGCACAGAAATATCAAAAGAATATATTAAATATATGAAACTGAATCAACCAAATCAAATATCAAGTACATCAAAAAGTGAACAATTGGATAACGTATATAGCATGAAACAAAAACTAAAAGAAACAGAATTATTGAAGATTAAGGTCATTAATTAAAAATTACGGTTAGAACATAAAATTAAATAATCATATGGAAAAAATAGTTAAATAAAAGAATATATAAGAAAGATGAATAATATATATATATAAATATAACAATTAAAACAAATGCAAAGAATAGAAATACAAAACAATGAAACAAATCTCAGGAATGGAATGCTAATCTATTGATAAAGAAAATATTAATTAATTTATACACTCCGTATAATGCTTGTTATATTTTATGAATATATGAATAAGTGACGAAATATTTTAAGTTTATAAATGATAAAACTAAGTACAAGTTTTAAGCATATAGGTGTTTCTATTAAACATACAATATATACATACCCAGTCAGAAATGACTCGTCGATCGACGTCGAAACGACGTCGGTCGACAAGTCATTTCTCGCTGGCTATATGTATAACACTATATACATACATATACTATATGTACATTATATTTAAATTCTATATATTCTATATAACATATATATTTTTAATTCAAATATTATATTTAAATTATATATATTCTATATAACATATATTTTTAATTTAAATATTACTTGACTAAATGAATTTAAATAATATAATACTATTACATATTATACATATTACATAATGTTACTAAATATGTAATAGTATAATTCAGTACAAAATAAATTGTGAAGAACTTTAATCATTAAAATTGGTTTTTCGATATCTTATTCTATTCTAATATAATCCTGTTTATTAATGTAAAATGATTTATCGGTTTGAATATAACAGTCTATAAAAATATTTAGTACTAGCTAATTTAATACTCAGATATTTTGCATTATTTACTGTTACAACGACACAATTAAGTTATTCAGAAACGCGTTTACAAGAAGAATATACCTTGTTTTCAAAGTTATGTTAATATTTCTATAATTAATAAAATTAAAGAACCCTGTTTATTTGCTAAAATTGTGCAATTTTTAAAGCGGTGAAACTCGGATGGAAATCATGGAAAATTAAAAGAAGCACTTTCGAAATTCAAAGTTTCATTTTTAACGCGCTATCGGTAGATTCTTAATTTTATTTTATCTCGTTCTGTGTTTTAAAAAAGCCTATTGTTACGTTCCTTAAAATTATATATTCTTGACACTGTGCAGCTTAATAAAAAGTTTTGTCTAATACACACAAGTAACAAAGAGTATAACATTTTGTTTGAATAATAGGTTGTTAGCGTATATTTATGCAAATTTCCACAACGCATAAGCACATAAATAAGGAAATGGACGAATTCATGTAGAACGATCTTGAAAAGCGGACCCGCTCTCGCGACAGCCAATCAGAAGCGTCAAATACTGTTAACCCTCCCGATTGGCTGTCGCGGCATGCGTTTTCTTGCGATGGACTCTGCGACCAATGTGGACCGGCCTTAATATAAAGGATGGGACGAAAACTTCGCGAAGCCATGGTGGAAAAAGAAAGGCGAGTCAAGTCAGGCGACCAATTTTCGTTCGCTCTGCGCAACTCACCAAATCAGCCATCTTGTTTTACAAACACATACTAATTGGTCTTGGTCATGTATACCATGGTATACATGGTGTCATATATTATATAATAATACATGACTGTAATCTGAGAGTTGTCAAAATCTTCTAAAAGATATATTTATTCATTCAGATAGTTTCTCCGGTGACTTTTTCAACAGGTAATTTAATTTTTAATTTGTTATTTTGATATGGAGGTTTGGCACGGTAAAGAACTTCTGCAATACAGAACTAAACGAATATTAATGTAAAGAGATTAGGAAACTTGTCATAATAAAATATGTCATAATAAAATATTTTCCAGTGACTTATATTTTGTTCAGAAATAAAAATGCATCCTAATGTGCTTGTTCACGAAAAAAAATGTTCAGAAAAAAAACTAAACGGCCACTTCTTTATGCAAGAAAATGTATTTTATTCATTCTATTATTTTGAATATCTGCTGGTTCCCCCGCAGTAATGGCTGACATGGTGGACAGCTTACTATTGGTCGGTGGAATTACGCTGCGCCTTGACTCACCTTTCTTTTTCCACACCATGCGCGAAGCTTTCGGTATTGTTCAGTATCGAAAATGGCGGCGAAGAGTGGTGGTCACGATGAGTGGCCCTCGGTAATGAAGCCGATATTGGGAGCATCACCGCGCTCGTTTAATAAAAATGACGTTATCGACCTCGTAAAGAGCATCGTTAAAAGGTAGGTGCGATCCGTCGCGGTCCGACAGCCGTGCTAAGCCGCGTTCTTCGCGACGTAAAAAAAAAAAGCACGTTCCTTGGCGGAACAGAAATGGAAGTCCGCCTGTCACCGCGGATCCGAGCTCGCTCGATCTTTTATTCCATTATTCGGCAGCTAACACCCACCCTCTTTTTCTTCTGTTGTCTTACAGCGAAAACAAATTTGTCTCGCACGAGGATCAATACGATACTTTTTACACGGCGGTTGCTGCCTTGTCGGCGGATTGTATTAGCGGTTGCGCAAATACGTGTAAGTAACAGCGCGCATCCGCGTGCGGATGACTATACAAAAATAAACCGTTTTTAAACGTGTATACGTGTATACATGTTTATTTAAAATTTTCAAGTGCTCCCCGTTATTTTGGGGTTGTCAGGAGAGACGTGTAAAGAGAGAAGGGAATATAAAGTATGTTTCGGTATTTGTGAAGTATTCGTCTGACTTGCGTAAAATATTCTTAGGTACTTAGGATATTTTAGATATTTAGCTGGTAAATAGATTATTTTTCGGCGAAACATTTGGATAACTCACACTTAGTGTTCTTAGATAAGAAACATTTACATTATTTAAGATACAATATTCTTATATGCTTTCGATGATTCACCCAAGTATTTTAGATAAAAGATCTTGGAGTACTTTATTTTCCTGACCTTTCTTTCCACTTTGCCTTACGTGTCTCCTAAGACAATCCTGGAGGAACAATTCGAAGTGCTTGAGAGTTTTCTAATATACAGACTTGTTTACATATGCTAGGTTATAAATACATGTCGAGTCTTACAAAACATCCTTTTCAGTTGCCAAAAGTCAAATACCTATAGTTTGCCAAGCATGCAAGGTGCTGCTTACTTATCTCGTGGACAAGTTGCCGCAACAACAAGCGCAATCTGGAGATACCGCATCGACAGTTTTGACTACGAAGCAATTGCTACTCCCGATACGTGCGCTATGCACAGGACAATCTTTACTTACATCTGCGGAAGAAATTGCTCTTGTTTCCGTCATAAAAAGTTCCAAGGTACCGACTTACGTGACGGTTTTGTCAGGCGGAAAGGAAAAGGAGTCTCCTCAGCCGACTATAAAGGAGACCATGCGATCTCGTTGCGACTTGTCCACCAGTATTCTTGAACAGTTGACAATGCCGCTGCAAGACTTTTCGTCATCTTCGATTTTCTCTAATGAAAGTTCTATGGATAGCACGAACAAAAATAGTAATGCCGCTGCAAGCGAGGCGCATTCTGACACCAAGGTTTGTACCAATAAATATAAATCTTTTTGTGCTCGAGCAGGATATATTTCCCTTGCTTCATAACTGTATTGCTCTTGATAAATTATATTTTTTATTATAAGTGGCAAGGGGAGAATGCCAATGCGAGCCAGAAAGAGAACAGAACTTGGCTCTCAAGATTTAAACGGTTTTTTTTACATTTAAAAGACGATTTTTTAACGTTTAAATCGTGAGAGCAGAGTTTTGTTCTTTCTTTTGACTCGCATTGGCACACTCTCTCCTTACCACTTATAATTTTTCTTGGAGCCTTCACTATTCTTCGTGTTGTACTTTTTATTATCTTATCGTGCGTGTGTAATAATCATAATGATCATAATTGTAATATTACAATTGTAGTATTATGTTATTTGATATAGTGAAATGAATAAATTTAATACTAAAAGAGTTCTAATTTATTATATTGCAGATGATGTTTATTGCAAACAATATAAGCACATTGCAGAACATGGGAGCAGGTGACACTTTGTTGGATATGTGTTTAAATCTCATGCACTTGTCACGTTATACCAAAAAGTATCAAGTTTATTTATCTAAGAAGGGATTCAGCTTACCAGCGAATGCCTCAGAAGCCCATACAATAAGGCACAATTTACACTCCATCGTTAGTGACATAAATATTGTACATAATGTAATATCTCTGCCGATACTTGAACCATTGACACCACAGAAATTGGAAAAGTTGTCACTGCTGACTATGTCTTGTCTATATTGTTCCATCGCGAATGCCACTGCATCCAGCATAGTTGGTATAACAAACGCAGTGTCACCTAAGTGTAGTACAAATACTGCAGCAAATAGTCAAGCCAATCAGAATGTAAAAACGACTGACGAGGAGTACGATACTTTAGCAATTACGGTTGTTGAGAAGAGTCTAGAGATATTTGGCCAAGTGTCAAACGTTATTAAAAATAGCACGCGTGCAGGAGGACATGTGAGTAATTTTTACAAGATTTCTTTCTCTTTGCAAAAATTATATGTTGTCTACTTTATAATATTATAATTTTAAGGATGTCGAGTCGTTACGACTCAACTAGAGTGATGGAAATTCTTTGAATCCAAATTGATGCTGTAGATTTTAGCATAAAAAAATTCTGTCAAAGTTTGAGGCTATTTAGGAATTTTGTTACTGAGAAAATTAACGAATAAAATTATTATGCCTGGTTTTTCCAACGTCACTTTAATCTTTATCTCAGTTTTCGTCTGTAAAGGGACAGTTAAGCGATGCTGGAAAAACCGGACTTGAGTATTTACTCTAATTCATTATTTTAGAATTTTAATTGAATATATTTATGAATACGTTTAGAAATATATTATGAATATATTAAGCTTATTTTTTATATAGGTAGCTATATAATTATATCTTTTTTATCTATATAGATTCTGCAAAATCACTTACTTATTGGCGTATGGCTCCTAGTGGCTGGACTGCAAGCGCAATTAACCGTCAGCAGTTTTAGTGCTGCAGATAAAGGAAAGGAGGAAAAGGGAAAATCGCCAAGTAAAGCTCGTGATGGAAGTGGACGT